CAGTTCTCTCACAGCTTCTTCACATGTACAGCGGTTGAAACATCTGTATCCTAAATGGAAACTAATAGATACAATGTTTCAACCGCTAAACATGTGTTCCTTCTGTCAGAGAACTGTCAGAAATAGCGGAGCTCACTGCAGGGACACTTTTGCCGGCTGATCGGGAAATGTTCGATTCGCGCACCCGAAGTAGGCAAAATTTCGGTTTCGCCGCGAATCGAATATTTCCTGAAATTCGACTCGAATTCCGGTTCGCTTGGTTCGATTCGCTCATCTCTAGTTAGGAACATACCCCCAGCATCCATAGTCACAGGTTACTCATCTTAATCCCATCACTAATTAATTTGTTAAGGCAGATGTTGATTATTCAAGAACAGGATGAGAGATGTGAAAGTTTGTAAATTCATTTTGTTCTTATCTGAAAATCCAATAACCATAATGCCATGTCTGGGATGGGTGTTAATTGTTCAAGTCACATGTCTGAAGGTGTAAGTTGTTGTTAAATTGCTTCTACCCTGCTGTGAGGACCATTGTAGTCAATACCAAAAAAACCCTTTATTAAATACGTTGACAATTCCTTTTTTTTCCTACACATATATTAATAAAGTGTATTTTCTTTCTCCTTTTAGGTGTTTGATCCCCTTAGATTTTCTCCAGAAAATACCATCAAAAGACATTCACACGCTTTCCTGCCCTTTTCTGCTGGAGGAAGGTATCTTTGCACTGTCTGAAAGATTAAAACCTGGCAGGCTTTTTTTAAAGGTCCTTATCAAAATAACTGAGGGAAAAGCTGTTTTTCTTCCATCAATCAGATTGTTCCATTTAGTTTTCTTTTGCATTAAGGGAGAGTGAAAGGAACCGATTTAATTGGTTGCTTTGGACAATAAGAGAAGTTGTTTTTATGTAGACACTTTAGTTTGAAATCCTTTATTACAGCTTCAATACAGAGCGCACTACATACATCTTGCATTTCCAATAGAAGAGCTGATTCACACATGTGCCGGGCGGATTGAAGATCAGGTTTCACAGCTAACTGACACAGTAGTTGTTCAGCGGTTCATGTCAGGTTCAGGACATGATTAGGTCAGAATTTTATATTCATACATATGTGGTTTAGGAACGGTTCACATAAAAGTCAATACCCTGAAATCCGCACCTGAACCAGACCACACTGCTCAGAAATCGTTCAGGACTCTAGTTGTTCAGCGGTTCATGTCAGGTTTACATCAGGTTCAGGACATGATTAGGTCAGAATTTTATCTTCACACATATGCGGTTTAGGAACGGTTTCCATAGAAGTCAATAGCCTGTAATCCGCACCTGAACCGGACCACACTGCTCAGAAATCATTCAGGACTCTTTTTAAAACCGTTTTGAATCCACACCACCAGGGCACTGGACATTTGTGAACAAGCACCATAGGAAGCAATGTCCTTTCACATGTCATGCGAATTGGATTTTGTTCAAACCACATCCAATCCGCATATATGTGAACCGGCACGACAGGTTATTTAGGAAATACATACAATACATTTAACATTGAATAATCATTTTACTGTAGAAAACTAACCACTATGTACCTCTGTGGTTATATATTCACTTTGGTACAAACAGGGAAAGCATGCAGGGATTCTAGGAAGTTGTAGAAAGAGACGGTCAGCAGACAGGCAGCACTCGCAACATGAACACAAGATTTTTCAAGTCATAAACTCTTCGATTGTAAGCTCCAAGGATCAGGCCCTCCTAACCCTCTTGTATTGTTGCTGTATTGTCTCCCTTTATTTTGTAAAGTGCTGAGCAAACTGTTAGCACCATAGAAAATCCTGTATAATAATAACTGTTTGTATTACTATCACAATGCTGATGTTATAAAATGAAAGCGTATGCAGTGACCATAGAACCTTGCCGCCCGCCCACATTAGTTGTATTGCAAGCGAGCAGCAGCTCCAGGCCAGGCAATGTACCTGTACATTGTGATCCTTCTAAGTTTGTGGCATGTATGTGCGCTCCCCCTGCCGACCGTGCTGTGATTGGACACAGCACAAGTTTGGCAGCTGATTTCAGCCAATGACTTTGGTTGAAGTCAGCTGATCGGCTGTGTCCAGTCACACACAGAGATCTGTGTTTTGAAAACACTAAACTCTGTAGACAAGGAACAGCAATCTGGCTGTTTATTCTCCCTGCAAAGAAAGGAGAATAAAGAGGCATATGGTAAAGTAAGAGAAGCACATATGACACATTACACATTGTTAGCAACACAGTTAACTCTTTGATTGTCCCTAGATGTTAACCCAGCCAGTGTCATTAGTACAGTGACAGTGTCCAGTATTAGCACTGATCCCTGTATTAGTGTCACTATTGATGTCATAGTCAGTCAGGTAATGTACCTCACAGGCAGCGTCAGCTGGCACCAGATTGCCCACCACACTATTACAGTCCCACTATAAGTCGCTAATCACCACCATTACTAGCATAGTGTCGTAGCTGTGTAATATATACCAAAGTATATATACCATAGTTTGTAGACGCTATAACTTTTGAACAAACCAATTAATATACCGTATTTTTCGCTCCATAAGACGCACCTGACCATAAGACGCACCTAGGTTTTAGAGGCGAAAAACAAGAAAAAAAAATATTCTGAACCAATGGACTGCAGACATAGTACAGGGGATGACCAGAGACTGCGGACACAGTACAGGAGATAACCAGAGACTGCGGACATAGTACAGGAGATGACCAGAGACTGCGGACACAGTACAGGAGATGACCAGAGACTGCGGACACAGCACAGGAGATGACCAGAGACTGCGGACACAGTACAGGAGATGACAGAGACTGCGGACACAGTACAGGAGATGACCAGAGACTGCGGACACAGTACAGGAGATGACCATAGACTGCGGACATACTACAGGAGATGACCAGAGACTGCGGACATAGTACAGATGACCAGAGACTGCGGACATAGTACAGGAGATGACCAGAGACTGCGGACATAGTGCAAGAGATGACCAGAGACTGCGGACACAGTACAGGAGATGACCAGAGACTGCGGACACAGTACAGGAGATGACCAGGGACTGCGGACATACTACAGGAGATGACCAGAGACTGCGGACACAGTACAGGAGATGACCAGAGACTGCGGACACAGTACAGGGATTGTCAGAGACTGCAGACAAACTAGAGGAGACAGTCAGAGACTGCGGACATAGTACAGGAGATGACCAGAGACTGCGGACACAGTACAGGAGATGATCAGAGACTGCAGACACAGTACAGGAGATGATCAGAGACTGCGGACACAGTACAGGAGATGACCAGAGACTGCGGACATAGTACAGGGAAAATACCAGGGACACAGTACAGATGACCAGAGACTGAAGACAGTGCAGGGAATGACCAGAGACTGCAGACAGTGCAGGGGAATGACCAGAGACTGCAGACAGTGCAGGGAATGACCAGAGACTGCAGACAGTGCAGGGGATGACCAGAGACTGCTGACCTTTGGGGAGGGAGGGGGAGCGAGTACCTGAATTTGACAGATACCCGCTCCCACTTCCGCGGAGGTGTCTTTCCCTCTTCTTCCTGCGCCGGCTTCTGTGACAGCCGGGTGCCCACTGCACATGCGCGAGAAGTGCTGCGCTTTGTGAATGGCCCGGCACCTTCTGGGACCTGTCATGTGTCCCAGAAAACACTGGACCATTCACAAAGCGCAGCACATGCACAGTGGGCACCCGGCTGTCACAGAAGCCAGCGCGGGAAGACTGTGCAGCGCTGGAGCGAGGAACAGGTAAGGCCCTGCAGGAGAGAACAGCTGAGCGGCTGGCCCGGCATTCTGACATGGTGGCATCAGAAATACCCGACCCGGCCGCTTTATATTCGCTCCATAAGACGCACTGACATTTCCCCCCCTTTTTTTTGGGGAAAAAAGTGCGTCTTATGGAGCGAAAAATACGGTACACTTTTTGGGATTTTTTTTTTTACCAAAGACCTGTAGCGAAATACAATTTGGCCTAAATATAGGAAGAATTTTGCTTTTTAAAATTTTTTTCATTGGATATGTTTTCTAACTGAAAGTAAGAAATATCGTTTTTTTCAGAATTTTCAGTGTTTTTTCATTTATATTATACAAAAATAAAAAACCCAGTGCTGAACAAATATCACTAAAAGAAAACAATATTTGTGAGGAAATGATAAAAATTTAATTTAGGTACAGCATTGCATGACTGCGCAATTGCCAGTTAAAGTAACAAGTGCTGAATAGCAAAAAATATTCCGGTCATGAAGGGGCTTTTATATGGTCACCAGAGTGTTGGGTAACCCCTTTTTCGGCTTACAGGATAATCAGGCTCCTTGTGGTGACAGCTCTTTTTTTTTTTTTTTTAAATTTAAATATTTATTAAATTTTTCATATTAATACAAAAACCCAAAAAGGGAAATAATTCTCATACAAATATACAATTATATAACCTTTCTACCTTTCCCTTACTAAAAACTCTTTTCCCTCCCGTCCCACTACCCCCCCCCCTCCCGCCCGCCCCTCCTCCCCCCTCCTCCCCCTCTGCAGACTCTAGCCCTTTCTAATCTCTTGAGGCTTATTAATTTTTTTGCTAACATCCTAGTTCATATCTTCCTATATTTCTCTTTCAATCCTGCTCTTTCCCACTTTTCCCATCTCTTGGAATAAACTCTCATCCTATCTTCCTGCATATGGTATGATCTTTCCATTCTACCTATCTGGTTTACTCTATTAATCCAGTCTACCTCCTTCGGTACCTCAGCTTTCCGCCAAAACTTGGGTATCAACCCTTTCGCCGCATTCAAGAAGTACCAAATACCTGAATCTTTATATTTATTTACAGATGTCTCCACATTGTGTAGGAGGCACGTTGTTGGGTCTAACCCTATGTCAATTCCAGTTATTTCTTCAATTAATTTAACTATTATCTTCCAAAAAGCCTGGATTTTCGGACATTCCCACCATATGTGAAACACACGTGCCTATCTCTCCACATCCTCTCCAACACATATTTGAGTTTTTCCCCATTCATCTTGTGCTCTCCACTCGGTGTAATATGCCATCGTGTCACACACTTATAATTAACCTCAACCTCTCTCATACTAACATTATCGTGTATCAATCTAAACATCTTTCTCTGTCTATCTTCATCAAACCCAACTCCCATATCCCTTTCCCATTTTGTCATAAAAATTAACTTTGTGTTTGTGTCTAATTCTGTGAGTATTCTATACACTTTTGAGATACCGTGCTTCCCATCCCTTCGTGTCTCTAACAACCTTTCAAACATATTCCACTCCCGTTTTATTCTCAGGGGTTTCGGTAGGTTTCCAATAAAACTTTTCAATTGATGATATTTCCACTCATCTATTCTAATAAAAATATCTCCCTTCTTCTTCTCTATTAACTCTTTAAGTGATCTCAATTCTCCCTCACCAAAACATCTCTCAATTGGGTATCCTCCTTTCTAAACCATCTCCCTGATATCTTATCCTGTCCCGGGGGGGAAGTACTCAGTATTTGTGAGAGGCATTAATATAGAGTTAAATTCCCATTTCATGTTTTTGTGTAAATTGTCCCATACCCTAAAGACATTTAAAGTGTAGATACTTGTGCTTTCTTTAATTCCCCTGAACTGTGGTGGGAACCCATATTATCTGACTCAATCTATTGCCACTAAGATCATT